CAATTTCCACTCCACGTCCCTTGCATTGTCATGGGAGACTTTGCACTCAAAGGTTACATCTTCCTCTTCAAATACCTCAACATTTTTCAGCTCCCGGAGGATGGTGATATCCAATTCTACAAGGGCCGAAAGATCCATCAGTAACAGCAAGAACATAGGCCACTAACCCCCCCTTTTTTTTTTTACTATGATCTATCACTACTGGCGCAATATGGTTCATGGGGTCACGAAGAGTCGGACACGACTTAACGACTAAACAACAACAACAATCACTACTGGAAATCAGCTGTGGTTTGGTCCCAGTTAGTCCCTTACCAGCACATATTCTGCAGTTTCCAGAAGAGGAAAAATTGGGCCTTAGGTGCAGAATTCATGGACTAGAGTATTGTATGTTCCATTATATAATATCCTAGACATTACAGCTGCAGAGATCAACTTGAAGGAATAAGGACAATATTGAAGGACATCTTTAAAGTCATAGGAGGTTGGCTCAAGAGCTGCTTCAGGCTTTACTTGTCATATCAAAAGACATTGACAAACCCCAACAGCAATGCACAACCAAGGAAGCAAGATTCAAAAAAATCTCATAAATCAAGTTTCATGCTAGGAAAAATGGAATACAGAATCTTGGAAACTGAAGAAGTAAAACTCTAGCCCTCATTTATAAGGGAATTCATTAAGGCGGAGTCTCTGTGAATTGTTTGAACCTCTTCCTCCCTGATTGCTTAGCTGAAGAGCTAACCCTACTTTAACAGATAAGACTGAAACATCCATCTGATCTTAATCTGTCATGTTTTGAAATACTCCTTTTCCTTTCGCAGACTCCCTGTATCTCTTACAGACACACTCAGAAAGGGGAAGGCTGGAGGTTTTCTAATGGATGAAACGGGTCCCTTAAAAACTAGTTATCCAGAAGGCGTGGCATCATACCAAAAATCCCTCCCCTCATGGAAGCACAAAAGGGATGGAGCTTGCATGACATCAGAACATGAACCCCATCTCTCACCAGGAAGGTAATCTGATTCACTTTCCTGAAGGGAAGGAAAGAAAAGAAGGTCTCCTCTCAATGCATTGCAGGGGAGGGGGAGGAAGAACTGGGAAAAAGACACTTCAGGGGTACAGAGTATTGAGAATGTATATTTGAATGTCTACCAGACTCTTAGAACATAGTTGTAAGAGGAGGACTGTTACAAAAAAGATTCCATCATCCAGGAGATAGGGGTGGGAACATGAAAAAGAGAGTCAGAATATCTCTGCCCTAATTTTGCTAGGTATAAGTTGATCTGGAAAATGGCTTAAGCAGGTTTCCAAGATCCTGATACTTTACCCTACTACCCAAAAAGGTTATTCCAAAAATCCAAGTGGTTCTTGTTTCCTGAGTTTGCCAGCCTTGAAGGACTTGATAGTATGCTCTGCAGCTACAGAGAATGGCAGAGTGGTGGAGCTCCCTGTTTTTCTATGTTGCATGAAGCAGGCCATCATATTACTATGATATATATTCATTTATTGTGAATTGTTTATAATGAATAATTCATTCATTTTATTAGACTTATATGCTACTCTGATCACATCTGATTCTATGTGACTTCCAAAACAGTCACAAGATTAAAAACTAAACATAGCAACATAAGCACAGCAATAGAACAGTAGAACATTATAATAAATCATGTCCCAAGCTTCAAGGACCAATCATAGAACTATCACCACCTGGGAGAGATTAAGACAACCCCTCCTCTCCCCCAAATTTTAAGGGCTTCATAAAAGACTAGCAGAGTCAGGGTCTGGCTGATATCAGGGGAACACTGTTCCAGACAAGGGCTTCAGTACCTGAGAAGGCCCAACCCAGGGATCCTCACAGATGACATTCTGTAAAGCTTGCAACCAGAGATGCCCTAATATTAAGCCAGGGTATAATTTATTCTCTATAGTAAATGGACATAACTATTTTGTCTTGTTAACCCAGCTACTAGGCTGGTAGAATAATCAATAGAAGGCTAAGAACTTTGGCAAAAATATCCAGCATATGGTCCCAGCTCAGCCTTCAGAACATGGTAGAGACACGTCACTGAAGCAAACGCACCAAGAGATATAGCCCAGCAGATATTGGAATACAGCTCCCCTTCCAACAGCAGTGACCCCATTTTCTTTCACCTCCAAATGTTCCAATCTGTTGTTCAGGCTGATCATGGGCTGCTATTTTCAAAATCCTTGCTTATAAGAAGAAGGATATGGAATGTGGAAGGAAAGCCTTGCATTGGCCAACATGAGCTCTTCCTTCCCTTCGTTTTCTCCCCTGGGTTATTAAGTCAGCCTAAAGGACATTGCACACCACCTTTCCAATTATAAAAGGTAACTGACGGTAAAGGGGGAGCAGGGTTGGCCTTCAGCAAGACAGCTATACAAAACTGTCTGTCTGTTGCTGGTCTGTACCATTTCCAAAATGAACCCCCTCATAGGACTGTTCCATACAGTAAGTCTTGGTCCAACATCAAGTTAAAAGTGGAGAAGAAAGTCTCTGAGCATGTGCAGAGAAGCATAGGTACCTGAAAAGTATCCAAAATAGCTGAAATGGTTTTACAAGAATTGGCATACATTCTCTGGAATTACAGCTGAAGAAACTGCTAGTGAGTGTCTTCCAGAGCACCTGCTGCTATATTAAATTGGAACATATCAAATCCATTAATTAATAAAATGGTCTCCCTCTCTTTTTTTAATTGTGTGCTATTTGGTAGAAGATAAGACAACATAAAGAAGGCATTATGGTACTAACCACTTCAAAAAACCCATACCTTTCACGGATAACACGGCAGATGTGGTTTGGTCTCCAGTGCTACAAGAATACTCTCCACTGTCTTTGGGCTCCAAGTTGTGAATGAGTAAGTCACGGATGCCACCATCCTGTCTCATTTCATACTTGGGACTAGCATGAAGTGTTATACCGCCTTTATGCCATTCCACTGGGGCTTTAGCGACTGTGACCTCACAGCGTAATCTGGCTGTGCCACCCTCTTCCGCTTTCTCATTCTTCAGCTGCTGTGTGAATTCTGGCTTGAGGGCTGTGGAGCAAGGAACAATGGGAGAAAATAAAACACTGGACCCTTCTTCCATTAAGTGGCACTTCTGACCAATTCCAGAAAAGTAGAAGCTTGGGGAAAAAGTTCTATAGGACATATGGATGTTTGATGTCCCAGGAAGTAAAAAATGTTAGTGACAAAACATTATTCATTCAATAGACATTCCTGAAAGGAGTGGACCTTAGATGATATATACTGTGTGTGTGCGCGATTGTGTGTGTGTGACATATACAGTCATAGTTTTTTTCCCCCTTTACTAGACAACCAATTTAAATTTCTCCAGATGTTTTGCTCTGCAATGATCATCAGACCTGACCAAACGTAATCATGGTAAAAGATTATAAAAGTTGTAGCCCAAACCGTCCAGAAAGTGCACTTTGCTTGACCATGCTGAATATTGCCCCTTTTGCCAAGATAACTCCATAGCTTTGAAGGAAATTATACTATATTTTCCATAAACTTTGAAAGAATAGCAATAAGAATTTTTACAAAAGTGTTTTTAACTGCCAGAAGTCATAAAGTCCTGGTGTTCAGTACAGTGGATTGTATATGATTACACCCCAGATACAAGAAAAAGGGCTGGATTGTCTAACATAGTCCTTGCTGGAATTTTGTTAAATGGGCCACCAACTATTTTGAAAGTCTGTGTGAATCAGGCAAAAGAAGATTTGACTCATTTGTTTGATTCAGAAGAGACTCTGATTCATTTCAGACGTTTGAAGGTGTTTGATTTGATTCACATTTCTGTGCTGTACATGGCAGAAAACTCTGAATCAATTTGGAGGCATTAAATCTGATTCGATATCTCAAATCAGCTTTCCAATTCCACTTAGAAAGTCAGCTCAATTCAGAAATGCAATTCAACTGAACCTCAGATCTAAATATTTGCACAGTCCTACTATTGAGATTGATTGTGGAACCACCAGGGTTAGAACAGATACATTTCCAGTTCTCAGAGATGCCACTTTCACAGTGACACACCTAAACAGAATTGTACTGAATTATAATTGCCCACCAAATGGGCAAAAATAATTTAAATCTCTCTTTTTCTATATTGTTAACTACACCGTAAATAGAAGTCTACTTCCTGTCTCAAGGTCAAACTTTATATGATATAGTATCCATATTCATTTTTCAAACCATTACCAAGGATGATTTCAACCCAAAATGTAGTTTCAAACAGAACCAAATTTGAACTCAAATGTGCCTTTTCAAGTTCATATTTAATTATTTTGAACCTTCAGATCAATGAACAAAATATTCAAAAGGTCAAGATCTCTATAGCTTTGATAGAAAGTAAAGGCTGTTAAAGTATCAAAAATCAGACATAGGTTTCCCTGAATTTGGTTTTTGTTTTGTTTTTTGTAATCCCGTGGGTCTATGAATCACACACTTCTATTGTATCCAAGTAATGCCTAGCACTGCTGAAAGGGACTCCAGATGAAATTCCACAGATTGATCTGTGAATTCATATTACCCAAGGTTGTGTCCAAGAAAATGCTGATGAAGTTCAAATGTTCATCTGCCAGGCACTGTGCACTTCATTAAATACACAAAAGGTAAGGGAGAAACAGACCTGCACGTCAATGAAGCCTATAGTAAACCCATTAAAATATTGTCTTTTCAGCTCCATCACTAACAAAAGCTTCTGAATTTCTTATCTAATAGCATTCATCTATCATTAAATCAAGTAGCCCTGATTTTACACATTTTACCGTTAACAGTCAAGACAGCTGATGTTTTCTGGTCTCCACATTTACAGGTGTAACATCCAGCATCCTCAACATCTAAATCATGTATCACCAACTCTGCAACAGCTCCTTCCTGTCTTAATTGGTATTTGTCACCTCCTTTTAATTTATTTTCTTCCTTCATCCATTCCACTGGAGCAGTTTTGGTGAGTTCGCAATGCAGTGTTGCTGTTCCGTTTTCAGTGGCTCCCACATCCTTCAGTTCCAGTTTGAACTGGGGAGGTAGGGCTGCAGAACATAAAAGAAGGGTGTGAAGATTCTCCAGGACAAAGATGGACTGTGGACAAAGTTAGGTTGGAGATAGGGAAGAGGAATTAGCATGGGAACAATACTGATCCAATGCCTGTTGATTTTTAATGGAAATCCTTCCACAAGCTTTATCAGGCACTGGCAGATGGCCTTGAAAGGAAACTAGCACAGCAGTATGATAGAAATTATCACCTCATAGTCAACAAATGGACATGGACAATAATGCATGCTATAGAAATGCAGTAAGACATGAAGACTGACACTGGAAAGACTAGGAAGAGAAAAAAAGCATGAAGGCATATAGAGGGATAACATGGAAGAATCGTATCACTGAGGTTCAAAGCCAGCATAACTATAATAAATGCTCCTATCATATCCTACATATGCTATGAGTTCACCATAGGCTCTATTGAACAACATTTGCTGGTCTTCACAGCTACCAATATACTCCCTGATTTGTCTCAGTCACCCATTTAACAAATGACTCATCTGAAGGATGTCCTTGTTGCTAGCTTTAAAACAGTGGGAATTTTCTAGCCCATCAGGGCATCAGACTTGGTCTGAGATGTAAGGAGGCTGATCTATTAATCTTCTGCAGAATTATCAGTGAGGGTGAAAAGGAGATGGAATCTAAGAATCAGATGGAAAAAATCAGGGAAGAAAGTAAAGGGGGAAGCCAACTCAGAAAAAGAAGAGGAAATAAAAAAGAAATGAAATAATATTCTCAGTCAGCAGATATAATATATATTTTTCCTCCATGGGGGTCACCAAGGTCATTCAGTCTTGACTGAATTGTTTTTGGCATCATCCCTGTTTGCGTATTTAATGAAAAAAGACTCAATAAATGGATACTTCAAGTAGTTATCATGCATCAATATTTGCATGAGGGTTGTAGTACTGCAGCTTATTGCAGCATCCAAATGTTGAAAAATAAGAAAAAAGAGATAAGGAATAAAAAGAAAGAAAGTGAAAAAAAGTTTTCCCTTTTTTTTTTTAATTAGAATTTTACAAGTATAGAAAATGAAAAGAAAATTAAGAAAAAGAAAAGAGATAAGGAATAAGAAAAAAGAAAGTGAAAAGGTAGAAATTAATTTCAATAATAAAACTACTTTCTATTTTTGACTATTTTCTATACGCTCTTTATCTATACTATAGTCTTTAAATTCCAGTTTCACTATATTTTCATATCTTTCTCTTCAGTGCCTCCAACAGATTTATGGCTGACTTCTATATTCATGTTGTTTTAATCTGTGTATTTGTCACTCTCTTCAGAGCTATTTTCCTTTTTTCACAGAGTTCAATTTGTCTTTTATCCTTTTTTTAAAAAAAAACTAAGTTTCTGTTTTCTATTTCTGTTCTGTCAAAGTCTTGGCTTTTTCTTTCTCTTTTCTGTTCGTGGGTTCCTGGCTGAGCTTCTTGACTCTCCTCCTCTTCTTCTTCTGAATCTTTGCTCCCTCTGAGGGAAACGGCTCGAAAAACTTTTCCCTCACGCCGGTTCTGAGGGAAGGAAAAAAATGCCTCTCTCCCCCTGGTTTTCTCAGCTGCTGCCTCCTTTCTAGTTGCCTCTCCTCATCAGGGCAGTCTATCTTTTAATTTTACTCTTTATTTGACTCCTGGGCTTTGGCTCTGTTTATTCAGCCTCTTCCTCATGGGGCCTGTGGCTGCAGAGCTCCCAGGCAGCCATCTTGTCTCCACTCCTCCTTGCCTCCCGCCTCACACTTCTTGGCCAAGAGGGGAGGAAGTTGCCCAGATGCTTCTCACCTGGGCTGGCAGGTTGTCCATCGACAGCAAGCATCTTAGATACAGTGACCCTATTTTCTAGGGAAAAATTAAAGGACAAACCTGGAAAAGGGGCAAATGAACCTGAAAGAGGTTCATAAGGGTAAAAAAATAATAAGTGTTTATGTTCACAACTTTGCGTTAGAAAGGAAAATTCAAGAGCCGAACCAAGAAATTAATTAATTAAATAAAACTAAAGGACGGCTTTCTGAAATAAAGGACTACCCTTTACAATAAAGGATGCATGGTCTCTGTATGTATCAGTGAACCTCGGAAAATCCCAGTTTCCTGATGGAGGGCTGTCTCCATTTGATCCAACAAGGCAGTTCTTAATGCTTTGGGCAGTAAGACTGCTGGAAATCCTAACAGGTGGCTTTTGCAACATCTCCTGGAAGTCATCCAAAATTCAGGTTGCCTTCGTGGTGGTACACAACTAATGCAGCCTGTGTTTGTAGTGTATTTCTTTTCTTCTGATCTGTGTATTGGCACATTCTTGTTATTTTCAGGCAATGTGTTTATACATTAAGCAGAGCAGAAGTTCAGGGAATATATCTGAAGGAAGGAAGGAAGGAAGGAAGGAAGGAAGGAAGGAAGGAAGGAAGGAAGGAAGGAAGGAAGGAAGGAAGGAAGGAAGGAAGGAAGACATTGCTGTATAGGGGAGAGAAACAGTGGACCCTTTGGGTCTAAGGTAATCAAGCAGGCCATGATGGGATCTTCCTATACACAGAATACTATTAGTTCATCCAAGCTGAGACTGGACTCAAAATGGTGGACTGAAGTTAGAGGATGGGAGATTCCAGTTTGACGTCAAGATCTTGTTAACAGTAAATTTGTCAGCGGAATCAATTACTATGGGAGTTGGCAGGAACCCCTTGGAGGCCAATGAGCTATCTTTCTGATACTTTCATCTGGATTCCAACGCTGAGCACACAGTGGATTCATTGCCCAACCTCTTGGATTCCATGGTTTTGTGACCGAAGAAAGCCTTCCAAAAGAAAAGGAAATGGAGACAGGGATGAGGTAGGTGTTAGCCTTACATAGTAGGCCAGGTCAGGAAACAGACACCACAAGAAATATTACAACTCTGTTGTTATATGGTAGGGTGCAATAAGAGAATCTTGAAATCTTGACAGAGTTTCTTTCTCCCTCTCACTTATACCAAAGAGAGTCAAGGTGGGGCAAGCGTCAGTTTCTTCCTCAGCCTCTCCTGTCTTTCTGGGCTGATTGTTTTATAATGGCTGTTGTATAACTTCAAGTCCATCTCCACACTCCTCTTACACAGTCTAAGAAAAGACAAACGAGAAGAATGAAGTCTGTTCCCAAAATGTTATTTCACAAACTAAAAGCCAAAGGTTTCCTAAGTATTATTTATTATTGTTCCTTTGGGTAGCAGTGATAAGTGGGCACCGTAATAACAGATCTACTGTCCTGTATCTTTTGCATCTAGACTGTGGATCAGCAGGATATTTCATGCATAGTTTGAGAATCAGTTTGAGAATCAGCTGCTCCATTCTCCAGGTCAGTGGTGCCACTTCAAATAGGTCACCCTAAAGCACAGAAGATTCATCACTGATGATCTCCTGATTCCTTATCTTTTCCTTTAAATGAGCAGGTAAGATTTGTGGCCCGAGTATCCACCTGGCTGACAGGAGCTCTGAGAAAGAGGAAGAGACTGAAATGAAGGCAAATATTAAAATTAAAAAAAAAAAAAAGCTGGCATGATGCAACAAGAGGTTTTGCAAGATTTTGCCCTTAGGAATTCCATTTCAAAAAAGGATCAGATCTGTTGCTAGTTGGAAATAAGATCACTAGAATATCTCAGGTGTATGTTTTTAAGCACACACAGAGATCATGGAGGACAACTTATGAGGCCCCTGGTCTTCACTATCAGCCCTAACAACCAATTGTATCAAGGGAAAGCTTTACAATGCTCAGACACTGCAAAGTTTCTCACTTCTGATTCATCTTTGGAAAGTCCAAGGTTTTCCTAGGACCAAATCTGAAAACCACAGTTCTACAACTAAAGAGCAATACAGCAAATAGAGCAGAGGGAGGAAGCAGCGGGAGGGATTTCCAGTAAACAGGAGGTAGACTGTGAAAGACAAACCACAAGTTGACATCAACAAATTAGACAAAACACAAAGGCTTTAGAATACCCAGGCTTGCCAGATGCTGAACTCGGGATACTTTGATTTACCATGAACAGCCAGAGCCGCAGTTGTTTTCTGATCCCCACATACACAGGAGTATTCTCCAGCATCTCTAAGTTCCAGGTTGAGGATCGCACACTCTGACACAGGACCTTCCTGCCTTATGTTGTATTTGTCATTTGCTCTGAGCGTCTTATGCTTCTTTCTCCACTCCACAGAAGCTGCTTTTGTCAGCTCACACTGGAAAACAACAGTTCCACCTTCTGATGCCTCTTTAGCCTCCAGACCTTTCTTGAAGAGGGCAGGGATAGCTGAGAAGTTCAGAATGAAGAAAGCATGTGAATATCCAGATGTTGAAGAAAAGGGACCTACATGGATCCCATGGACCATTCCCTCCCTTTCCTTAAAAGCTCCACACTGTCAAATTGCATCACAGGCAACGGGCATCTGGAACTTCTAAGCAAATTCCTTCACAATTCTCTATCTAGGAAGAACCACAGCAAAAGAATGAATATTATTTGTACAAGATGTATTGGCCATGCACCTTGTATTCTGTGAAATGTAAGGATATTACTCAGCCTCCAAGGGCTGTAAAGATATTTTGATCCCTTTACTACATGGGAGATGACCTGAAGAAACACAGATGTCCTCCTGATTTTATGCATGTTGGATCTGGCTATGGGAAACAAAATGTTTTATGTACCATTCACCCTTAAGAAAGCTGAAGTCTTCGAATCACCAACGGTGCAGCTGTAATCACCAGTATCTGCCAGTTGCAAGCCATGAACAACAAGTTCAGCAACAACCCCTTCCAGTTTCATTTCATATTTGTCACTTGGCTTAAGCACCTCACTGCCCTTCCACCACTCCACAGGAGCAGTAGCTTTGGTCAGCTCACACCGCAGAGTAGCTGCTCCATCTTCTGCAGCTTCCAGGTTCTTCAGCTCTACGTTGAAACGTGGAGGTAAGGCTGAAGATCACAAAGAGGACATTTGAGGTCATTAATCATTGCAAATGAAATATTCCGTGAGATTCCTCTTAAGAGCTATATAGAATCACTTAGCTGGCTACCAAGGAAGGGTTAACCCAAGAAGGGAGAAAAGCCAGCAGAGCTTAAGGACACCATGTTACTGGTAAGAAAAGAGAGACTTATGGTTATTCTCCCTCTCTCTAGCTACTTATTCCTTGAACTTCTTGAATACATATGGCTAGAGCTGCTCATTGAACCAATCCTGGGGTGGCTCCTCTGAAAGCTGAGTTTTATAGCTTAGAGTTATTGTTGTATATGAATATTTTGTATTGATATTTATAGCTTAGGGTTTTGTTGAATATTTTGTGGATATATATTCTGCTTCTTAAATACTTTCCCACTTTTTCTGCAAGTAGAATTAATTCTGAGAAGATGGGCTGACCCTCTGAGATAATTTGGAAAAGCAACATTGTTGATGAAAAATGAAAGAAAGCATAGAATTGGCATACCTCGTCCCACTCTCAAATTACTCTACTAGTCCATTCACCAACAGCAGACAGAAATTATCCTGTATTTCCAGTAAAACAGTGCAATTAAATGAACTAGATCAGTGTTTCTCAACCTTGGCAACTTTAAGAAGTGTGGACTTCATCTCCCAGAATTCCCCAGCCAGCATGCTGGATTAGATAATCTTAATGGCCCCCTTATAACTCTAGAATTCCAACTGAAAATTAAAAGAGTGGGTGCTCACAATGAAAAGAAAGCAATAGATGTGGGATCTGGGGGGGAATGAAACCCACTCAGGTTGGTGGACTGTATCCAAAAGTGGCCTAAAACTCTAAAGAGATATCAAAGAATATCGCCAATATCACATTTTAATCAGAGAGGGAGAGAGACAGACGTAATATTTACCCTGCACAGTTATAGCAGCAGACGTGGTTTGATCTCCACAGACACAGGAATATTCTCCCGCATCCTGTTCAATGACATCCTGGATTGTGAGCTCAGCAACGTTTTCTCTCTGTCTGATTTTGTACTTAGCACTTGGGTGGAGCGTCTGTGTCTCTTTTCTCCAAGCCACTGGAGCAGCTTTACTTAAGGCACAGCGCAGGACAGCCGCTGTTCCTTCCAAGACCTCCTGGCTTGTGAGCTCTTCTTGGAAGCGCACAGGCAGAGCTGAGGAATGTAACACCGATACAGCATTGGTTGTTTTAGACGCGTGCAAAATGGCCGCTAAGGACAGCTCCTATACGGAAGCCCCATTTAATTCAATGGAGCTTTTGCAAGAGTGCACAAGGGGAGAAATTCATCCATGAGCATCTGTGGGGGTGGAGCCAGCTGGGACCATGGCACAATTTGCATAATACGTTGCATCATTGCTGTCATTTGCACGATGTTGTCATGGTGTAAATGATTATGACATCATTGCGCAAATGCAATTTGCATCCATCACTGGCTGTTCTGTCACATAATAAAAGTCAACATCAAACATTCCAAAAGTCACACTTTAAACTAAGATGTAACTTTCTTGTTTTAAAGATCAAAATAAATGGGAACCCACAAACACATACAGTAAAATATGATGATCATTTTCTGTTTTTCTACATTATTTGGATTTCATCAGATCTTTTGGAATACATCTTTTCTAAAATATTATTCCTCTGGTTTGCTGAATTTACATTTTGCTATTTTACTAAATACATTTCACAGCATAAGTTTTTATAAAATAGGTAGGAAACACGTAGACATTTTTCTTAGCACAAATAACTTACAGGTAGTCCTCGACTTACAACCACAATAGGGACCAGAAAATTCATCATTAAGCAGTGTAGCTGTTAAGCAAGGCATCACATGACTGCACCCAATTTTATGACATGTTTTGTAGCAGTCATTAAGCAAATCACATGGTTCCCCATTGATTTTGCTTGTAAAAAACCAGCTGGGAAGGTCGCAAATGGCAATCATGTGACCCCAGGACACTGCAACCATTGTAAATACATGCCAATTGCCAAGCACTCAAATTCTGATCATGTGACTGAGGGGATGCTGCAACAGTCATAAGTGCAAGGACCAGTCATAAGACACTTTTTTCAGCGCTATCGTAACTTCAAATGGTCACTAAACAAATGGTCGTAAGTCAAACATTACCTGCATTTGGAACTAGCATTGAGTGTTTTTACAAACTGATATATAACTACAAGCAACAACAGAACATGAACAATCAGAGTTCAGGAAAAGAAGTAAAATACTTCTAAAATAGGGCACATAAAAATAGCATTCCGATGGATTCAGTGAAAAAACTTTAAGAAGAAAGAAGATAAAAGAATGCAATAAAGAGCTGATAAAATAGAATTAAAAAGAAGTTGGATGGGTACTTTTAGGAAAGAAAGTAAAGAACTGGACTAAAATATCCTTGAAAAATAGGTTTAGGGATATAATGCTCAATATCCTTTGGAATTCAGCTCCACAGAAATAGATGGAATCAAATTCTAGACTGAAATGAGGGTTTAACACATGGAATTTCCAATTTTTCTTGACTTTCCCAACTCAAGAATATCCCAAACATGGATCTCAACTATGTTTTTCATTCAATGGAATCTATAGGCTATTCCTAAAGAGATGAATTAGAAGTCTGTTTTGTAGAATCCGTTTAGGCTAAACGTGCTAGAGATATGAAAGTGATTGGGGCGAAAAAGAAGAGGCCTATTGCTTCCACATAGCTCCTGCTGAAATACCCCTGATACAGGGAAATGACTTGAAACATTATGATCCAGGGTGGTATAAGGTTAAGATATTGTATTAGAAACAAGAAGAACCAGGTTCAAGTCCTCCCTCAGCCACAGAAGCTCCTTGACAGCAGTCTGGAACCCACCTTGAACTCTTGGAGAAAAGATGGGATATAAAACTAACAAATAAATAAAAATAGACAGCATTTTTGATATATGGGAATACAATTGGTTCTCAAAACTCCAGTTGGAAACTTTTTATCTTCTTTCAGTCAGCTGAAACGTTCTCCAAATCAGATTTAGGAGTTTGTCATCCATACCATCAAAATCCATGATTGATCATGCAGCTGGATTTCCAACAGCTTTCTAAAGATCCTAGTTGCAGGGACAACTTGAAACTTTATTCTAAGATACCTATGTCAACAAATAAGCTGTGACTAAGCTGACAGAACATCATGAGGTCTTTCTGATCAATAATGGTCAATAAGCTGACAGAACATGTAGGTGAATTGGCGAAGATGCAGGAAATAGTCCTGTCAGTAAAGCTGATCAGAGGCTTTCAAGGTGAATAGATTCAAATGGGTGAGGAAGGGAGGGAATGAGGCTCTTATGAAAGGGTGGTGTGACTTCTCATGTGGTGAGGCCTGAATCGTGTGCCACAATCCAAAGGATCCTGGGTATGGTCAGGACAAAAGTTAAATTTGGTTTGATAGAAGTAGGTCAAATAGATTCAGATATAGTTGGCATGGCTACTCTCCTCTGTGTATTTAACCTTTTTTCCTCTTCTGTCCCACTCATAATTGTAACCTCCAGGACTGCCTTCTCCAGATAGAATCTGCCTCTCCTACAGAGTCTAGCAGAGAGAAAATGATATGGGTCCCCACCACTAGAGAGATCAGAGATGGAGGGCATGGTGGGACCTGTAGAATGATATTCATGGTAGCAGCCTCCTCACTCTGGAACTGCATGATCCCTGAGGTCACATTGGCCTGGACCCTACTGTCCTTCAGGAGATGGGTGAAGTCCTTCCTCTTCCCTAGGGCATTTGAAGACTTTAATTAGGACTGCAAAGGAGATTTTACTTTTATGCTGGATTGTTGTCTATGGATGCTTTTAATTCTGTATCTGGTATGCCACCTAAAGTCACACAAGGAGGCAGCATGAAAATGTTGGCAATAAATAAATAATTAAAATTGACCATCTCTTTTGAAGATTGGTAGAGGCCACCTCCCAGGCTTTCTGGCATCGGCCGAAACTGATAGCAATTCTTTTCCACACCTGATTCCCACAGAGTTTCTTGAACAAGATGAATTGAGATGGAAGGGATTCCAAAAATTTCAACAACTGAACCATTTCCCATCTACAACCAATATGCCCCAAATTATATCAATGTAGAGACTTATTTTCTTGGTATCATTGAAGTGGTGGGCATTTTCACTGATAACGAAGAGGCTTGCAGTTAGATGTTGATATCTTCATCAGCCTGGGAACAGCATTTTTGAAGGTCTTAAAGATCATATGTGGCTCTGGAGCCTCAGGTTTTGGACTCCGCTTCTACTACGTACCATTTCCAATTACTGTGAGGCTGGTCATTCCAACAATAACTTCAATGATTATTATTATTCCTCCTCCTCCTCCTCCTCCTCCTCCTCC